TCTCTCTCTCTCTCTCTCTCTCTCTCTCTCTCTCTCTGCTTTTTCTGTCTTTCACCACTATGAACTGTTGCCCTTCTGCCATGTGCTACCCTGTCTTAGAGCCAGCCCATCATGCACTGAAACTGTTATAGGTTCTCAATATAGAGACCAGATCAAAATCCAATATTAAAATTTATGAGCCATTTAATACCAGGCTTGGGATCTCTTGACAATATTCACAAAAGAAATCACAAACAGCAAGGAACTTTGAAGTATGCAGGTTTTAAAACTAGAATCCACATCATCCTGTTTGTCAAACAAATTGGTCATGTAGCACAGACAGAACAGCACCCTTTGAGACAGCATGACCATTACTCAACATGTATTCTTCTAAGGAGCATTATGTAACATATAGATTGTACCCTAGTTATTTTGTAAGCCTATTCTGGGAACTCTCAGTCCATCAATGATTTACCAACAGTACATCAAACCTCCTCGTGTTATTGCAAGGAAGTAGGGGCAAAGAAAATTGAACAGACTACTTTTTTTACATTTAGTTTTACATTAACTCATCACAGAAACTTCTATAAATTCAAATACATAAACTTTTTCCCATTTAACTTTGGGGGTCAGGTAATTATGTCTCAGCAATGACAGAAAAGTAACACTCTCTCTGTCTCTCTCTGTCTCTGTCTGTCTTTCTGTCTCTCTGTCTCTCTGTCTGTCTGTCTGTCTGTCTCTCTCTCTCTCTCTCTCTCTCCCCCCCCCTCATATCATCAATTATGGGTCATTTCAAATAGCAACAGGTTCTGCAGGAGATCTCAGCAGCAGAGGAAGAGAACCAGAGGTGGAAGAATCCCTCACTTAAAATGTGATTAGAGAGATGTTTAATTGTGGAAAATAGCCCAAAATTTTGTGGGAAATCACCCAGAGATCCAGCCCTAGCCCAGGTCCAGTGAGTGTGTGGGAGAGCTCCCAGCTACCCTGAGTGGGTGGGAGCTCTATGGTCCAAGCTCAGGCACAGTGTGGGGGAGAACTTCTTCCACCCCCTTGGTACCCCCACCACCACTCCACAGTCCCCCAACTCCCACCCAGTGAGTGAGAACTTCTGCCGCATTTCCAGGACCCCAGATACAGAGAGCGCTCAGGATTGGTGAGTGTGTGGGAGAGCTTCCTCTCCCCCCTACTACACCTTGTCCCCTTCAGACTCAGCTCAGGCCTGGCATACAGGCCTGGGATGAAACTCTGCAGCTACAGTCGCTGCAGAAAGAGAAGGGGACAGAACCACAAAGCTAGTCCAGGAGTAGAACATCGTGCCAGAGGGGCACAACAGGCTCACTCCCAAGGGTGACAACAGGAAGGAACAGAGCACAGCAGCCAGACCCAAGCCAGGCACAGCAGGATAAATCCAAACTTCATAGATCTGCACCTGAATTTCAGTAGGTGCTAAGGTTATAACTTCAAAGCTGTACAACAAAGGTCAGAAGAGAGTGCTATACAAAATGACAATGAAAAGGAGTAAAATGTAATCTCAGATGTCAAGCCCACTCATAACAAGTGCAGAGGACACTAACACAGAAAAAATTGGGAATCACACAGCTGAAATCAATGAATCAAGAGCTTCTGAAATAAAGAAACAGGGGCTGGGGAGATGGCTCAGTAGAATAAGCACTTCCCTGGCAAGTGCAAGGGCCTGAGTTCAATCCCCATTTCCACCAAAAAAATAAAATAAAATAAAATAGTTCTGAAATAAAGAAACAACTGCAGAGGGGCCAGGGAGATGGCTCAGTGCAATAAACGCTTCTCTGGCAAGTGCAAGGGCCTGAGTTCAATACCGAGTTCTGCCAAAAAAAACAACTGCAGAAAGGTATAAAGGAGCTCAGATTGTAAATGAAAAAAGAAATCCCTGAATTAATAGCTTCTGCAGTAAAGAATCAAACACAGAAACATATGGAGGAAACCCAATGCCCACCCAGAAAAAGCGCAGAGGACACTAGCTCAGCTGAAATGTATGAATTAATAGCGTCAAAAGTAAATAAGCAAGAGCAGAAAGTTATAGAGGAACTCAGAGTGGAATTATTTTCCAAAATAAAAAAATAAATCACTGAACTCATAGCATCTGAAGGAAAGAATCAAATATGGAAACATAGGGAGGAAACCCAATCTGAAAAAAACTCTGCAGTAAAAGAATTAATAACTGCTTCCAAAGGAGACTTCAATAAAAAAAAATACAGGACATTAGAAAAATGACAGATTCATTGAATGAGCAATGCAGGAAAGAAATAGATCACATGAAGCAGAGTCAAAGAGATATGGAGAAACTTAAAATTTCAATCACAAGCTTGCAAAACCATTTGAGTGAAAGTGAAGACAGAGTTTCAGATCTTGAAGAAACTGGTGCAGCTAGTGAAAAGGGGAAAAAATGAAAAACAACTAGGGGTACACAATAGCTCTGGCATTGAAGAAGTGAATATGTTTAGAAACCAGGGAACGGTTATCCACTTCAACAACCCAAAAGTTCAGTCATCTCTGGCAGCAAACACTTTCACCATTACAGGCCATGCAGAGGCTAAACAACTGACAGAAATACTACTCAGCATCTTGAACCAGCTTGGTGCAGACAGTCTGACTAGCTTAAGGAGACTTGCTGAAGCTCTGCCCAAAGAACCTGTGGATGGAAAAGCACTGCTTGCTACTGGAGAGGAGGATGATGATGAGGTTCCACATCTTATGGAGAATTTTGATTAGGCCTCTAAGAAAGAGGCAAACTGAACTAAGTCAGCTTCTGAAAAAGACCAAACTTGGAAGAAATTACTGGGAGATGCCACTTTATATAACGGCTGCTTTTTAAAATTGCTTTTGTTTACGGATCTGATAAAATCTAGATATCTAATATTTTTTAAGCCCAATCCCCTTGGACACAGCAACTCTTTTCAGTTTTGGCTTACATACAATTCATTCTTTGCAGCCAGTTAAGATGGAGAAACCTGGGAATAAGGTTTAAAACATATTAACAAAACACAATTTCTAGAGATCACATAGTGTACTTTTAATGTATCTCAATTCCTTCTCAAAGCAGACTGTAACTTTGTTCTCACTATACTATGTGACCTTCTTCCCTGTGGAGGCTTTTCAGTAAGAGAGCAGAGGAAGGCCTATAGAAGTTATCCCCATGTCCTATATTCCATTAATTCCTTAAAAAGTTTCAAAATTTAGGGACTGGTAAGATGGCTCAGTGGTCTAAAGCACCTACTTAGAACAAGCTCAGCAAAGCACACGGACCGTAGTTCAATCCCCCAGCACCACATGCCAGCCAGCCCCACCCTCTGGTGGGCTGAGCTGGCCACACACACACACAAACACACACACACACACACACACACACACACACATAAATAAATAAATAAATAAAATTTTTAAAAAAT